GGTAAACGAGCCCAGAAAAGGGGGAAAAGCCCCAAAAGAAGGGGAAAAGACACAAAAAGAAGGGGGAAAACCCAAAAAAAGGGGGGAAAGAAGCCAAAAAGGGGACAAAATGCCCCAAAAGGAGGGGAAAAGAGCCAAAAAAAGGGGGGAATAGCCCCAAAAAGAAGGGGAAAAGAGCCCAAAGCAGGGGAAAAGAACCAAAAAATGGGAGAAAAGCCCTAAAAAGGAGGGGAAAGCCCCCAAAAGGGGGGAAAAGAGCACATAAAGAAGGGGAAAAGAATCCAAGAAGGGGGGAAAGAGCCCAAACAGAAGAGGAAAAGGCCCCAGAAGTGGGGAAAAGAACCCAAAGTGAGGAGGAAAAGCCCCAAAAAAGGGGGAAAAGAACCCAAAATGAGGGGGAAAAGCACCCAAAAAGGGGGGGGGAAGAATCCAAAAAGAGGAAGAAAAGCCCTAAAAAGGCGGGGAAGAACCCCAAAAGAAGAGGAAAATAGTCCAAAAAGGGGGGGAAAGAACCCAGAAAAAGGGAGGAAAAGCCCTAAAAAGGGGGGGAAAGCCCCAAAAAGAAGGGGAAAAGCCCCCAAAAGGAGGGAAAAGAAAGGGGGAAAAGGCCCAGAAAAGGGAGAAAAGAACCTAAAAAGAGAAGGAAAAGCCCTAAAAAGAGGGGAAAAGAGCCCCAAAAGGAGGGAAAAGCCCTAAAAAGGAGGGGAAAACAGCCCTAAAAAAGGGGGGTGAAGAGCCCCAAAAGCAGAGGAAAAGAGCTCAAAAGTGGGGCAAGAGCCCCCAAAAAAGAGGAAAAGTGCCCAAAAAGGGGGGAAAGGACCGCAAAATGGGGGAAAAGGCCCAGAATAGAGGGAAAAGAAGCCAAAAAGGGGACGAAAAGCCCCAAAAAGAAGGGGAAAAGAACCCGAAAAGAGGAGGAAAAGCCCTAAAAAAGAGGGGAAAAGAGCCCAAAAAAGGGAGGGGAAGAGCTCCAAAAGCAGAGGAAAAGAGCTGAAAAGGGGGCCAAGAGCCCCCCAAAAAGAGGAAAAGAGCCCCAAAAGGGGGGAAAAGCCCCAAAAAGGGAGCAAAATATCCCCCAAAAGGGGGGAAAAGACCCCAAAAAGAGGGGAAAAGAACCTAAGAAGGGGGGAAAAGAGCCCAAGAACAGGAGGAAAAGCCCCAAAAAGGAGGTGAAAAGCCCCCAAAAGGAGGGAAAAGACCCCCCCAAAAAGGGAAAAGCCCAAAAAAAGGGGGGAAAAGCCCTAAAACGGGGGGAAAAGCCCCAAAATAAGGGGAAAAGAACCCAAAGAGAGGGGAATAGCCCCAAAAAGAAGGGGAAAAGAGCCCAAATGGGGGGGAAAGAGCCCAAAAAGAGGAGGAAAAGAACCCAAAAAGGGGGGAAAAGAGCCCATAAAGGGGGGGGGAAGCCCCAAAAAGGGGGGGGGAAGAGCCCCAAAAGAGCCCATAAAGGGGGGGGAAAGCCCCAAAAAGGGGGGGGAAAGAGACCAAAAAGAGGAGGAAAAGAACCCAAAAAGGGGGGAAAAGAGCCCATAAAGGGGGGGAAAAGCCCCCAAAAGGGGGGAGGAAGCCCCAAAAAAGGGGGAAAAGAACCCAAAAAGGGAGGATAAGCCCTAAAAAGGGGGGGAAGAGCCCCCAAAAGAGGAGAATACCCCCAAAAAGAAGGGGAAAAGAGCCCAAACGGGGGGAAAAGAGCCCAGGAAGAGGAGGAAAAGCCCCAAAAAGGGGGGAAAAGAACACAAAACGGGGGATCAAAAGTCAAAAAAAATGCCAAAACCCGCCAAAAAGCGAGAATCCCCCCCAAAACGGGGAATTAACCCTCTCTCCTCTCTTCTCTTCCTCCCCAGTTGGGTGCCGAGGTGGGAGGGGGGTGGGGGAGGCTCCCGGATGTCTGTGTCCCCTGGGGGCATCCCCTCCCCAGTCCCTTCCAGTTTCCTCCAGTTTGCCCCTGGTTCCCTCCACTGTGCCCTTCAGTGTCCCCAGTCCCTCCCAGTCCCCCCCCAGTTTGTCCCAGTCCCTTCCAGTGTGCCCTTCAATGTCCCCAGTCCCTCCCAGTTTGTTCCAGTTTGTCCCAGTCCCCTTCAGTGTGCCCTTCAGCGTTCCCAGTCCCTCCCAGTCCGCTCCCCAGTCTCCTCCAGTCTCCCCCAGTTTGTCCCAGTCCCCTCCACTGTGCCCTTCAGTGTCCCCAGTCCCTCCCAGTCCCTCCTAGTTCGTCCCAGTCCCCTCCAATATGCCCTGCATTGTCCCCTATCCCTCCCAGTCCACTCCCCAGTTCCTTCCAGTCTCCCCCAGTTTGTCCCAGCCCCCTCCAGTGTGCCCCTCAGCATTCCCAGTCCCTCCCAGTCTGCTCCTCAGTCTTTTCCAGTCTCCCCCAGTTTGTCCCAGTCCCCTCCCATACCCCTCGGTGTCCCCACTCCCTCCAGTTTGTCCCAGTCCCCTCCAGAGTGCCCCTCAGTGTCCCCAGTCTCTCCCAGTCCCCCCCAGTTTATCCCAGCCCCCTCCAGTGTGCCCTTCAGCATTCCCCGTCCCTCCCATTCCGCT